ACTTGGTTTATATCAGCTTGAAGAAGTCTCGGTGTGTCTTTTATGGATTCAGTTGAAGTAAGTATCCACGGAACGTGCGGGAGTCGAACCTATAGAAAGTCAATAATGAAACTAGCAAGCCTGTGCTCTAACCACTGTACCATGATGATCTAAAAAGATTCATCTAGGGTGCGAAGGACGGGTCCTGTTCCAGTTCTAAACACAAGGCATGTTAGACTGTGTTGGAGTACGCGCGCCAGCATAAAATCCGAACCTCACCGAAGCATGCAATGAAACTAGAAAAGATCCAAAGGTTCACGACTAGAATGGTACCGGAACTTCGGACAATAAACTATACAGGAGAAGGATTAAGGAACTCCCCAACAACGCAAGAAGAGAGAAACATAACGTACACAGCCCTCAGATATTGACCAGCTTATGGTACCTGGAGATACATGGCAGAGGAAGAGGCAGATGAACCCCAGGGAAGTCTTCCAATACTGTGACAGTTTCCCAGTAGTTAGTGGAGACAAAGGAGAGTTTCACGAACATATAATCGGGACAGGAGACAGTAACGCCAGTCAATAGTATCATTAGATGAATGGTATACAACATTGACAATTTGCACATGCTTCTCATTCATTGGTCGATGGTAACAGAAACGGGGTCAAGAGCTAGACTCCTGCAAATTGAATAAAAAAATCACATGTACAAAGTCAACAGCTGTATGACCTATATGAGATTTGCGCTTTTAAATATAATAATAATAATAATAATAATAATAATAATAATAATAATAATAATAATAATAATAATAATGTCAATAATTCAAGTGACTAGGCTCAAAGTGGTACTAAGCAACATTCAAAATAAGCTTCAATAAAATACCGTCTTCTGTATATTCATGAATTCCATTCAATTTCAGAGCGTTACTCGTCAAATCCCACTGTACAGCGATATATACAAAATATTGCAAGGATTCCTTTTATATTTGGAATAACCTCCAGGTAACCTCCAGGTAATAACGCAGAAAACACTACATTTATCAGGTATCGCGTAGCTCGACTGCTAGCGCACTCAGCTCACACGTCCTAATGTTCCCACCCTAGTACGGGTGGGAACACCCGTACTGGCTAACACCCTGTCGGGTGTTAGCCGACTGGTAAGAGTCGCATCCTGGGGACAAAACTGACCTAATTTGCCCGAAATGCTCTGCATAACAAGAGTTTTCTATTTAGCAGTATGTCATTTTTATCAGCTAGGCCCATATATATTGTATATGTACTTGTAGAAATAATTATCATCATCATCAAGGTCTGCTGGTAGGCACGTGAATATGGACCGGCAATCACGGGGTAATACGTGCCTGTATGCACGCTAATGAACACACTAGTGCGTGTGTATTTGGGGGTAACTCTCATCTGGAAAATTTTGAAAGGAAACAAGAGTTGCCAGTGATGCTGATGACGATGTTAGTGAGAGTGGCTGAAGGAGACACAGATAACCGAGATAACAGCACTTCCGGAGCTACTGGCTGGTACACAAACACTTGCCATCTCCGCCCCCTTGCTCTCCTCGCTAGCCAGAGGCCCTCCCCACTCGCCAGAGGCTCTCCCCACTAGCCAGAGGTCCTCCCCACTAGCCAGAGGCCCTCCCCACTAGCAAGAGGCCCTCCCCACTAGCAAGCGCACCCTCCCTATTAGCACGAGGACCTCTCCACTAGCAAGAGCCCCTCCCCACTAGCAAGAGCCCCTGGGGCTCTTCGTAGCCTCTGAACTCACAGTAAAATATTATACGATATCTTCATGCTTCTATTAATATCTAACAGTGTTCAGGGTGACAGATTTCATTACTTAACGCATGCAACACGTTCTGTTTGATGGAATATGACAGGGAAAACAAGGCTATGTTTTGCTTCCAGAATTTAACTCGTACAGAACGTGATAGCCGCACATTGAGTATACTTAAATCAACTCTTCTGTTTGTTTCGCTACTCTTTTGTCTGTGTTCTATATTTCTTCCGTTCTTCTTCCTCCTCCCCCCCCCCTCTCTCTCTCTCCACACACGCGCGCACACTATCGACAAGTGCCTTGGACAAGCAGTAGGTAACAAGTAATGATTAATGACATAATCACAAAGGAATTTATTTAATATTTAAGTTTACTGTTATTAATAACCACTGTTCAATAAGCTTCCCTTATATACTGAACATAGCCATTACAATTTTAAAATTAAAAAAATATAAGAAAAGTATCGGTAACCTCCAGGTAACCAGGTAATCGGCCAATACTTTGGCATCTTCCCATCCCTATTAAAAATTCCTTAAAACGTATACAGCTAAAATCACACTTAAAAACACAGGGATATAGAAAATATCTATGACGAGTCAGATGACATGTCACCTACCAGATAGTGAACGACAACGTCATTGCTTCCTCTATTGTTGAAAACATAAAAGCGAGGACCGTGTTCAAACTAAATCCTTGACAGACATATGTATGGGTTAACCTGTGAAGAATTTTACTGGAAACTGACCTGTCTGCTGAGATGTAAACCTGTTCAAGGACACAACTGATTCGTTGAATGTTGTGTGAATATGTTCAATAACAGTCAAGATGTCAGTATAACTACTGAATTTCCCCTATATATGCTGTGTAGTATATTGTAGATATCACCCATATAATACATTTAGGCTCCCTGCTCAGCTAGGCCTCTCTCAGTTCCCGGATAGACCTACATGCAAGAAGAAAAGGACACAAGTGCAATTAATGTGACATTTATTGTGGCAACGTTTCGCTCTCCAGGAGCTTTATCAAGCCATTACAAACAGGTAAGACACATATGCAACAGTTAGACAACTTTATTCCGAAACGTTTCGCCTACACAGTAGGCTTCTTCAGTCGAATACAGAAAATAGGCAGGAACAGTAGAGATGTGAAGACGATGTAATCAGTCCATCACATCTCTACTGTTCCTGCCTATTTTCTGTATTCGACTGAAGAAGCCTACTGTGTAGGCGAAACGTTTCGGAATAAAGTTGTCTAACTGTTGCATATGTGTCTTACCTAACAACCTCAAATTCTACGACTTTAAGGGTGATGGACTGATTACATCGTCTTCACATCTCTTCTGTTCCTGCCTACTTTCTGTATTCGACTGAAGAAGCCTACTGTGTAGGCGAAACGTTTCGGAATAAAGTTGTCTAACTGTTGCATATGTGTCTTACCTAACATACCATTTTGATGTTCATTACAAACAATACATGGACACAGAGGGTATATAAAGGCTCACCATCTCCGAAGTCTTAGCAAGAATCCTCCTGAAAACAGTAAACCCTGCCATCACATAGTCTCTCCTGTTATACTACACACAGCACAGAGAGTGAACACTGAAACAAGCTGCCTCATGGAATCTTAATTCTGAGGACATGTACATAACCTTCACGACTACTACAACTAACCCATCTCTTTGGGAAGGACCTACTTCCACTGGGGAATCCCGCCTACCAGTGAATTTGCCCTCGTCTGCTTCACCTGACGTTACTATATAAGCGCCAGGATTCTTTCTTCTGCTTCAGAATCTCCACGACTATGGTGCTGTTTGCACCTGCTCCTAGGTTGAGGGACTGATTACCTCATCTTCTGTACATAGTTCTACTGTCTTCAAGTTATGTCCTAGAATTTGTATTGATAAAGCCACTGGATGGCGAAACGTCTACAATAAAGATACCCAGATGTTGCACATGTGTCTTACTCTCACCTGCCTCATTCCAGTCTATATTTGTCCAACCTATTTTTATGTTACCCAAGTAATAGCTTTTATATCCTTTTACTCTACCATATTGTATTACTTTTGTCACTACCACTACTACTACCACTAGTGAACATCGAAATGGTACCTCACTAGTATTACACCTCACTCTGAGCCTTTATATACCCTCTGTGTCCATGTATTGTTTGTAATGGCTTGATAAAGCTCCTGGAGAGCGAAACGTTGCCACAATAAATGTCACATTAGTTGCACTTGTGTCCTTTTACTTTACATATTGTCGGTAATTCTACCAACTTTATTACAGGCAAGAAGAAGGCTAGGCTGGGATTCCCCTCACGTCTCTGCAAATATAAGTGTTACCAGCCATAACCAAGTGTATTACTACACCACCTTTATCTCCTAGAAACCCCACGTTACAAAGACCAAAACTGACCTGTCATGAGATCTGAACCTGTTCAAAACCAATATACTATGATCAAGATCAAAATTGATCTGTTTAACGAAATGTGAACATGTTTAAGACATGCACAGATATAAGAACATAGGAAAGAAGGAACACTGCAACAGGCCTACTGACCCATGCGAAGCAGGTCCATGTTACTCCCCGGCTTAGCCCAATGACCCACTTCCACTTAAGGAAGGAGCACGGCATCAGACCTAGTAGCACAAGCTAGTCAGGTCCAACTCACACCCACCCGCACCCACTTATGTATTTATCTAACCTATTTTTAAAACTACACAACGTTTTAGCCTCTGTAACTGTACTCGGGAGTTCCACTCATCCACAACTCTATTACCAAACCAGTGCTTTCCTATATCCTTCCTGAATCTGAATTTTTCCAAACTGAAACTATTGCTGCGAGTCCTGTCTTGGCTGGAAATTTTCAGCACGCTACTTACATCCCCTTTATTTATTCCTGTTTTCCATTTATACACCTCAATCATATCCCCCCTAATTCTACGCCTTTCTAGAGAGTGCAGATTCAGGGCCCTCAGTTTATCCTCACAGGGAAGATTTCTGATACATGGGATCAACTTTGTCATCCTCCTCTGTACGTTTCCCAGTGCATTTATATCCATTCCGTAATACGGTGACCAGAAATGTGCAGCATAATCTAAATGAGGCCTAACCAAGGATATATAGAGTTGAAGAACAACCTGAGGCCTTTATTATTTATACAATCAAGACAAGTGGTTGAAGGAGGTTATGACATCAGGAGGTGAACACTGTCACTGCTGCAGGTACTCACCAAATAGGTGTATGGGTTGAGGTAATTCTGTTGGACTCCTTCAGGCTCCGTCCTGCCTGAGCTTGTGGGTGAGATGGAAAGGTTGGCCAAGCTCCTTCTGAGGTGTTGGTCACACTCGTGACAGTTCCTTGGGGACGGAGACCTGGGTGGTGACGGCGATGCTCTGGACGGAGAAAGGGAGCTCCTCCTCGACGGAGAGAACATCCGTGGGGAGAGGGAGACGCTGCGGGGGACCGCAGAGCTTGAGTGGGACCATCTCCTGGAGCGGCACATCGCTGGGTAGTAATAGTATGAATGGTCATTAAGACTACCTTGCGAACCCCACTCTTCCTCCTGTTGCTCCTCTTCCACCACCACTTCCAGTGACGGCGCCTCCCTCAAGAAGGACATCATCATCGGAGTTCTCCAACAGTATTCGAACACTTCCTCCTGACTTCCAAAGGGTCTTCTCCACTCTCCAATACTCGTGTGTTATAAAACTCTGCGGTCACTGACGATGACTAACAGTATGACTGAGAAGAGTGCGAAGCGTCAGCGTGAGAGACAACTCCTCCTAATGACAGCTGGGCACAGTATGAGACGAATCAGATAGCATATCCGTTTAAGTAAGCTCAACTGTCAAACCTGACGCAATGCCATCTTCGTCACCAAGAAGCTCAACGTTTTCCTGCCTCGGAACACCCGTGAAGGGAAGGAGGTGGGCCACAGAAACACCATGAAATACATTGGAAAAACAGACCTTATGGTCTATATCAAGACAATCTGCTTAGAACTATTTCTCTTTTTATCATTACTTAAAGAATGGCCTCGATGGTTCATGATCAACTGATGGCCCTGGCTGGTCATGAACTAACAGCCAGTTCATTAAATAAATCAAGCATTATAGGCGAAGAACTTCTGTATGCTCCGTGATTAATAGAGATTAAACAATATAAATCTATATGTCTATAATAAACTATTTCTATGACTAGGCTTTTTTTTATTTGTGTAGGCAGGATAATCTTCTAAAACATTTATGAAAGGTCATCCGTAATGATGGAGATCCTCGTTAAAAGAAAAAAGTTCGTTATGGACAGCTAAGAAAGCTTGTGGTGTGGGGTCCAGCAGCTGCCAGGTGCTGACACCATCACTATGCAGCAGGTATCAGCTGAGTACCAAACACCGTCCACAAGACCACACTCGCCACCCACGATAACAACACCCTTGAGGAACCGATCCAGGATAATCCATGACCTCAAACCAGCCGCCACCAAAACAGTATAATAAAAAAAATCAAGGATAACATCAAAAACAGGTTGGAGGCATCGAGAGGGAGATACGGGAAGCCCTTCCATCCCTCTCCCCAGGAATATGCTGATCTCTGACACCACGTGACGCTTCAGGAAGATATTTCTTAAATTGGACGAAGTAGAGATTAAGTGGCAAGCCACAACAAAGTTAACAGTCTCATTACTTATTTCAGCGAGTATCCTATTCCTAAAACATCCATTTTTTTTTAGGTTTCTCTGGGGAAAATCCTCTAACTAAAATATTCCCCGCTGGAGACATGAGTACATTTCCCTTGTAGGGTCCGGACCATCACTGGCCAGTTGTGGCTGACAAACTGGTCTTCTGCCCAGAGAGATTACGCGTCGAGTGTGGTTTTTGACTAGATTTTGGTTAGTTCTGCCACATCATGTCTAAAGTGCCAGGCAGACTTCCCCTGCCTCCCACTCCTTATTTCTCTACTATTTTTATTACTAGTGTTTGTTTTGGCACAATTATTTCGACTGCTTCTAATATTACATCAAGTAAATTAAACAATGGCGGAATAGTAAGACTTCCAGTCACGGATATCTCACGCACATTTCATTCCTAAAATAACTTTCAAAGAAATGGAAGAAGGATTTCCTGCTCCTCTATGTTTTGTGCGCATCCCCTTCCCGTCTCGTCTTTCCCATCCTCCATCTGTAGTCCCTCTCCCTCTCTTTTCCTCTCTCCCCTTCCCGTCTCGTCTCTCCCATCCTCCATCTGATGTCCCTCTCCCTCTCTTTTCCTCTCTCCATCTGATAACCATTTTCCCGGGCGGAGAAGGAAGTCTCTGGATGACTGAAATAAACAGCAGCCAACAAACATACATCCTCACACGCCAGCACACACGTAACAACTGACGGAGGGAGATGGGTAGCAATGACGACACTACGTCAAGATCTACCCAGACCGGGCCGTGGGGGCATTGACCCCCGAAACCTTCTGCAGGCATACCGTCTACAAGGACAGACGGAACAAAACAAGAGACCCGCTGAACGATAGCGACCCCGCTAAGACAGAAAAAGCCTGTGACTGATTTTTACAAAAACGTCTGAAACACGCGTGAAACGGGAGGAAAGCTAAGGAAGGAAAAGGATGGGCAAACGAGGCCGTCTGGGCAGGGAACCTCTCCCTTTCCCCTCCCAATGTTCAACTGATGGAAATTACATAACATCCAGACTAGATTATAAAACCAGACGGACATCCTGAGTTTAAACACCTTGAATAAGACATGGGAAAATATATTGCATAATATCAACACACGAACTCACTGAAAACACATGTTACGTCAGGCTTCTTACATAAAAAAAAGTAATTAATGAGTTTAAGTTCCGATATTAATTTAGCATGTTGACCTTTTGGCTAAAATTAATTACGGGCTTCAATGACCTGTGATTTATCTGTGACCGATTTCAAGGGTTCTTCTAGCCTCGCAGCCCGGCATTGAGCCAGGCTTACTCGATTGTCTATTCAGTCATCACAGCCTGGTTGATCTGGCACTTGGGGGAGGTAATAATCTAGTTTCCGCTTTAAGAATATTGACAGCCGTATTTCTAGTATCTGCTGAACCACGGTTGACAGTGTTTGTGTGTCCATGGCAGCCTTGCTTTTCACGTTTGTTTTACACTACTTCCAATCCGTCATTCGTATAGTAGGTTGTTATGGTCGTGTGTGGATCTGGGACCTGAATCACGAAATCGTAATGACACGATTGCAAACAAACCATACCACGGGCGGGATTAGAACCCGCAGTCAGTCTCAAAACTCCAGACCGTCGCGTCGCTTTGAGGTGACTTGAGCTAGAGTTCGTCACGGCCACGCTAGCTGGAGATTCGTCTGTAAAAACTTGCATTTGTGGTCACAGTGGTGCCTATGCTAACCTTCCTATGGTGTAGAAATATACCTAGTTGGACGAATCTTATTGTGGCTAGCTGGTCCAGTGGCTAACGCGACAGTCTGGAGTTTTGAGACTCTGACCGCGGGTTCAAATCCCGCCCGTGGTATGACCTGGGACCTCATAATATCTTTCAGGCATATAGATTCTCTCTCTTTTCCTCTCTCCAGGTATCACCGTCTTGGTGTTTCAACATGACTATTACATCCACAGTATTAGACGTTTTTCACTACTGAAACAGGAGATGAAGTTTAAACCGTATGCATAATTCGTTACGAGTCATAACCCACAGAAAAATGTGAAGGGAAAACCTCCCTGCTATTTAGGCTAAAAAAAAAAAAAAAAAGATTGTCAGGCTTTTAGAGAGGTACTGTTAAACTGATGATAACTGGTAAAAGAAGCATTGCAGTAGATCTATTTTGCTCGTATTACACAAATAACCCGGACACTGAGGAAGAGCAGCTTACGACGACGTTACGGTCCGACTTGAACCATTTACAAAGTCACACTAACAGAAAAGTAAGAAGCCAATTTTATAGGCGAGTGGAAGAGGGGAGCAAGAACAAGAGAGGATATGAAGTATGATAGATAGGTAGTTGAGGTAGCATAGAAAAAGTGGCGATGGAAAGTAGGGAGTAGATTAGTGACAGGGGAGGAAAAAAAGGGGGAGAAAGGGTGAAAGTAACAAAATTAAAGGAGTAGCAACATAGAAGAATCGGGGTAAGGGGGAAGGGACTAGGTTAAGTAGAAAGTGGCTAGTTTAAGGTACAAGAAAAGAGCACTGCGGGATCAAGCCCGCAGGGGTAGGACCAATGCAAGGGGGGGGGGTGGAAATATAACACAAATGCAGTCAATGTGATCTTAATGACAACGTTGTCACCACACAGTGGCTTTCATCACACACGTATCTCCGCATCCGCGGAACATCCGCACAATTTCTTACATCCACATTTTATGGTAAACAGATATCCACATATGCATCTGCATCCGAATCCGCACAATTTCTTACATCCACATTTTATGGTAAAAAAAAAGATAACCCAACCCCAAATATTTTTGGCATTCCTGCATCCGCATCCCAATTCCGCGGAATATCCGCAGAATTTCTCACATCCACATCCGCACAATTTCTCATGTCCGCATCAGCATCCGTACAATTTCTTACATCTGCATCCGAATCCGCAGAACATCCGCACAATTTCTTACATCCGCATCCGCGAAATAAGTAAGATATCCTCATACACATCCGCATCCGAGGATATCTAAATTTTCACATCCGATACATCTCTAGTAAGGAATGATTCAACAAGTCTGCGACTGTGAACGCTAGAAGTAGGGTAGACAGTCCTAGCAAAGGACCAGTCAATAGGACGACTGCGATCTCTAACATGACAGAAAAAAAAAATTATATTGGTGTTGGCATTCGTACCACTTTTTTTGTGTGTTCTTCGAGTTTGCCAGAAAGAGAACAACCATCCTCTCCAAAGTATGGGAGATGACAAGAGGAGCATGAAATAGAGTAGACACCAGGGGTGTCTATAGCGGGAGGAAACGTATGAACTACATTACCGTGAAGGGTGTTAGTTTGACGAAAAGTAAGTTTAATGTATAAGGAGCGAAGAGAGTTCTTGAGATTCAGCTCAGAAAAGCCAAAAAAAAAAAAAAAACAAAGAAAAAAAAAGGGGCCCTTTTAAAGGGAGGGTTCTAAACCTTAAAAGTGGGAGGGTTCCTTTAAAAACCCTGGTATCACAACATTGTTTACATGACAGGGATAAAGAAGTACGTCTTACCTTCTCTGTGTCGTCGTCGTCGTGACTAGACGTGGATTTGTTGTGGTCGGTGGTGGGCGTGAGGGGTGGCTTGGGCGGCGTCTGAGGGCCGTCATGGGCGGCGGTCTTCTCCGGAGAGGACCTGAGGCCTTGCAGCCTCCGCCCCTTCCTCCGTCGTGGCTGCCGTCAGTGCCCTCAGTCCGCCCCTTCCCAGAGTCATCGTGATGGGTGTGGGCGGCGACGTGCGTTCTGGCTGCTGTTTGGGGCGGTCCAGAGTGCTTATACGGTGAGCGGGTGTGTGGACGGTGGTGTGAGCGGGTGTGTGCACAGTGGTTTGGGCGGGTGTAGGGGCGGTGGTATGAGTGGGTGTATGGGCGGCGGTGTGGGCGGGACTCTGAGATGAGACTCTGGGATCCAGTGGCAGCGGCTCCTCCCAGATGCAAGAATCAACGCAAGAAGAGATTCTTGAGCGGCCGCCACCTGGTCTGGGAGGGACAACTGGGCGTTGTTGTTGTTGTGACGGAGACAGTGGCTGCTGTGCTGCCTTCTGGTAGCGGCGACCCAGCACTCCTGACGGGGTGGATGAAGGGGACGGGTGGTCACGCGTATTCATCTTGATAACATGATCAGCGACGATACGAGGTTGTTGCAGTCCCTGTTGCTGTTGTTGTTGCAGCCCCTGTTGCTGTTGTTGCAACCCCTGTTGCTGTTGTTGCAACCCCTGTTTCTGTTGCTGCTGCTGTTTATGTCTGTTCTGTGAGGAGTTGGAGTCGTGTCGCTTGAGGGTGTGTGTGGTGGGGCAGGTGTTGGAGTAGTTCTCAGGGGTAGGGGGCGGGGTAGCATCACCCTGACGGTCACTGCCAGGATAAGTGTCGCTACAAGTCTCGCTGAAGGCCTCGTCTTGACAAGACGACCCCCCGCTGGACGACGATGACGACGACGATTTAGTAGATGGGAAGACTTCGTCGTTGTCACTGCCTGTAACACCGGAGTCCTGCTCGTCGTCCCTCTCACCACAGCGTCGCGCCCACTCCAGCACCGCTCGCGAGTCCACCCACTTGGGCGGCCCCCACTCATCCTCGGGCTCGCATAGCGACATAGCGCGAGTCTGACGAGACCTGCCACGCCCCAGCTTGTTCCTGAGGGCGTGCAGGGGTCCCCCTCCACCACCACTGCTGCTGCTGGTGGTGCTGGTAGTGTTGTTGCTGGCTGATGTGTGGGCGTGGTGGTGGTCCCGGGGCCGCATCATGTGCACTCGGTCACCACCGCCCACCAGACCCTCGTGGTCTGGCGTGGGCGTTACGACATGACGGGAGGGCGAGCCGATGTTTCTCCAGCGCGACACAAGTGACGACCACTGACTTTCCACGCGGCGACGAAACCTCGGAGACCCTGTAACACCAAGATTATTATTATAATAATTACATCACTGTTGTCATATCTTCATTTTTCATCAGGAGATAAATTCATATAGGTCACAGTGTGCTAGTGAGGGAGGAGTAGGATAGTCCAGGATCTTCAGGAAGGGGAGCTGGGTATTCGAGGAGGGGGGAACACACTCGAAGGGATCTTGATCCAAGGAATTTAATCTAACCTTCCCTATTCCCTGTGATGTATAAAATACCAAAAGAGGAACGGACAGGGGGCAGGCTCTGTTGAATGCGAACAACAGAGACAAGGTACCAGAGACAAGATACCAGGAACTAGGGGCAAAGCACTGAAGACAAGGCACCAAGAAATAGGGACAAGGCACAAGGTATAGACAGGGTACCAGAGACAGCTTAAGGAAATAAAAGCTAGAACGGAGTATAAAACAAGTTCTAACGACACAACAGAGTTTAAGACTAATGTGAAGGATTTAAGAATCAAGTCAGATGATCTCACCTTCAGGGATCACAAGTGTCATGATCACAACCGCGAGGAAAATAACAGGATGGGTAATGAGAACCTTCACAACGAGGGATGCCAAGTTGCTTCAATCTTACGGCTACTGGAACTGAAATAAAATCAGACGAGGCGATGGTGGAAGCTAACCCAGTTTCAGAAGCAGGCATGACAAACCTCAGAAGAATAGTAATTATCTATGTCAATCAACATAGTTAAAGAGGTTAACATGACTCACAAAATCGTAATGACACGATTGCAAACAAACCATACCACGAGCGGGGATAGAACCCGCGATCAGTGTCTCAAAACTCCACACCGTCGCGTTAGCCACTGGACCAGCTAGCCACAAAGATTCGTCCAACTATGCATATTTCTACACCATAGGAAGGTTAGCATAGGCCTTGGTTAGTACTAACAACAGCTGTCACTAACAGAGGCCTATGTTGCCTATGCTAACCTTCCTATGGTGTAGAAATATACCTAGTTGGACGAATCTTTGTGGCTAGCTGGTCCAGTGGCTAACGCGACGGTCTGGAGTTTTGAGACACTGATCGCGAGTTCTATCCCCACCCGTAGTATGGTTTTTTTTAAAGAGGCTGGGCCAGGAGCTGTACATCAACCACTCTAAATAGAATCAGCGAGTGTTACTAGTACAAGTGTCTGGTAGTAATAATAGTTTACAATGATAATTGCTGCGGAGTTCATTTTGTTGTTGGTACCGTGTACCATCAGTGACAGCTGTCGTTGGTACCGTGTACCATCAGTGACAGCTGTTGTTGGTACCGTGTACCATCAGTGACAGCTGTTGTTGGTACCGTGTACCATCAGTGACAGCTGTTGTTGGTACAGTGTACCATCAGTGACAGCTGTTGTTGGTACCGTGTACCATCAGTGACAGCTGTTGTTGGTACCGTGTAAACATCAGTACAGCTGTTGTTGGTACCGTGTACATACAGTGAACAGCTGTGTAGGGTACGTGTACCATCAGTGACAGTGTGTGGTACCTGTAACCATCAGTGACAGCTGGTTGTTGGTACCGTGTACCATCAGTAGGACAGCTGTTGTTGGTACCGAGTGTACCATCAGTGACAGCTGTTGTTGGTACAGTGTACCATCAGTGAAGCTGTTGTTGGTACAGTGTACCATCAGTGACAGTGTGTAGTGGTACGGATGTAACATCAGTGACAGCTGTTGTTGGTACCGAGTACCATAGTGACAGCTGTTGTTGGTACCGTGTACATCGAGTGACAGCTGTTGTTGATACGTGTACCATCAGTGACAGTGTTGTTGGTACCGGGGTGTACCATCAGGTGACAAGCTGTTGTTAGGTACGTGTACCATCAGTGGACAGCTGTTGTTGGTACCGGTGTACCATCAGGGACAGCATTGTTGGTACCATGTACCAAAGAAAGATTTAAGAAAGTATATGACAAAGAGTGCGGAAGGAGAGAGACAGGAGAGAGAGAGATCAGAGAGAGAGGGGATATAGCTGTCATAAAGCATAGGGATCTTAACCTTGTCAAACCGGGGTGTAAAAAAAGAGAGAGTAGAGAGAGAGATGAGAGAGAGATGAGAGCCCAGAGACGAGAGGAGAGAGAGAGCTGAGTAGAGGAGAGAGAGACGAGAGAGAGAGCGATGACAGGGGTAAGAGAGAAGAGAGATTGACAAGAGAGAGAGAGACGAGAGGAAGAGAGAGAGAGAGAGAGATGGATGAGAGAGAGAGCAGAGAGGAACGATGAGAGAGAGAGAGAGACGAATTGCGGAGAGGGGGAGGAGGAGGGAAAGGAGGAGGGTTGAGGCGGGGTAAAACAATTAAGATGACGATCATCAAGACAAAGAATCAAGTGGCAACATCCGTGATACAGTCTTAGCGGTCAAAGGTGCCAGTTTCCGGGTTGAAGATGTGCATCAGACNGGAGGGAGTTTGAGATTTAGGGCGAAGGGAATGGTAATGCATGATAAAACGGGAGGTGATACCAACTTCCATCCGCTCAGACTGCAGCTTGTCTGATCACCGCTCTTGATCCCCCCTCCCCCCCGGTGAAGTACCTACCTCTGTCCTACCCCCCTCAACGTGAAAGACACCACACCCTCCTTTTGTAATCTTCACGGGGTATTGAAACAAATACAATTTTAAAGGGCTAGACAATATTTCTGAGTTGGTCAATCGGTGAGTCTGTGTGTTTGTATCTGTCTCCCCCACCCACCCACACACATAGAGCAGGCCAAGTGTCTAGCGACAATTGCCTCTGACAACTGGTAACTACTACGTACTACACACACTTTTACTAGCGAAGAGTTGGGGCCAGGAGCTGTGAATCGACCCCTGCAACCACCAATAGGTGAGTACGTACACGCGCACACACACACACACACGTACGTTAACATTGGCTCGTAATGGGAGTCACTTAGGCCATGGCCAAGGTCAATTGATGTGCAGGTTATGCAATACTATCTTCAGGCGATCACGTTGTGTCTCCACCTCACGGCTACACCCACACCCACCCACCTCACGGCTACACCCACACCCACCCACGTCACGGCTACACCCTCACCCACCCACCTCACGGCTACACCCTCACCCACCCACCTCACGGCTACACCCTCACCCACCCACCTCACGGCTACACTCTCACCCACCCATCTTAAAAACAAACTCATCATGCTTCCCTAGACCCTCCCTTCCCTCCATACTATCCTCTCCTCACACACTCTTCCCTTACTCCCCATAGAAGCCTTCCCTCCCCATAATTTACCTCCCCACTGTCACTCCAATCCACGAAGTCTTCCACTTCAGGCTGACATTTTTATACTATGAAATACACACTGTGATAAAATAACATTACGGGAAAAATGGATAGGTTTTGTTTCGCTATGTAATTATATAGAATTAGGGTATCAGCACATTATTGATGTATCTAATTTTCTTAAAAAAAAAAAATCCAATGCGTCTCAGAGCACTAAAGTAACGATCCTCAACTGAGCAATAAAGACCAGCAAGGCTGGAGTTATCAACTGAACCATAGCTTGATGGGTCATAGTTTGTTGAACCACAGCTTGCTGGAGCAGCGTAGCAAGAAGCCTAAAGTCTGGCAGGTACTTCGGGAAGTCTGTAAGAGTTTAGCATTTGGTATCATCGTCCACAACTGAATTAGTTGCTCCAAAACATAGGAACATAGGAAAGGAGGAACACTGCAGCAGGCCTGTTGGCCCATACTAGGCAGGTCCTTTACAATTCATCCCACTAACATAAGAAATTAGCTACTAAGGTTGTAACGTCAAGATTTTGCCCGAGGGAAGAGTTCATTGTGCGGGGCCGCCGCTCATCCTGTGAGTCATGCAGGAGCGCCATCCGTCAGCCTGAACTGGGAGACGTCATGCAGTTACAGATATCGTCAAGCATTCCACTTTGGGTTCAGCTGCTACGGCAACTTTAAATGTCACGCTCAATCATGGCTGGAGTTACAGTTAATCAGGCATTACCAATCCCACAACGGTTATTCAACAGCAGCATTCTCCCTTTCGACCCAGGAAATCGTAATAACACGACTGTAAAGAAACCATGGAACGGGTGGGGTTTAAATCTATTGTGATTGAGTCTTAAAACTCCAGGCCGGTGCATAAGCCACTGGGCCAGCTGGCTACAATAAGATTCATCCAACTAGGTATATTTCTTTACACCACATGGAGATTAACATGGGCCACCACTGTGAATATCCCGCCAGTCACGCTGGCGGGATAATCACAGGTGGGGTAATTTAAATGCTTTATTGGGGCTGTAAGGGCCGTAAATAATCTGTTTCAGCCCTGATATCTCCTGCCCAGAATGCAGCCATCAACACTGAACAGTACTCTAAGTGAGAGCAATAGTCATCTGAATAGTATTATAAAGGATTTCACATGAATTTGAACTAGTATCTGGAGATGATGTACTCGATGGCACTAGAAGTATGCTCCAGACACCTTCCATGAAGGAAAAAAAGAGAACAGAGTTAGAAAGAGGTGCTCCCTCTACAGACGAAGACTGAGAATTACATAACTTCTCAGTTGCTGCAGACTTTCTGAAGAACGAAAAGAATCATTAGCATCGGAGCTGGAAAATACTGAGCTCAAACTGAATGTATCATACAAGGCCCAGGAGAGCCAGAGGGAACAAAAAACCTTATATGAAGCACAGAAATCCTAAAAACTTTTTCTCGTATGCAAAATCCAGGGTAAAACCTACATCCGGTATTGAATCGTTGTTTATAGGAGATGGAACCTACACTGACGACGAGTGAAATATTGAACTTGAAATATGACTGTGCTCAGTGAGCCACTAGTCAGTCTGAAGACTGACAGTCCAAATTAGTTTTTCATGAATGAAACTTAAAACTGCCGACATCTCCATCATTTCTGGCCTAACTTCGCTTGACTTCGAAAAAGCCATCGACTGCATGACCCTGCACTCTGCTTCAGGCCCTGACTCATGGAACTCCGTATTCATCAAGAACTGCTAGAAACAC